TAACATCGTATGTACATCATAAATTCCCAGTTTCATTCTTGCTGTACATCGCAACCAAAAAAACTTGTCAGATTTACCAAATCATTACTGTAAACAGCTCCATGAATGCTCCTATCTCCGGCACTTCACAACAAAAAGAATAACTCTTGCACGTCTTGCGTGCCTATGTTTCCATTCTGTTGGAGTTAATTTGTTTTTAAAAGTCAGTATCTGGGAGGTTAATTTCTATAAGTGAGAAGGCAATCACTGCAACGATAAAGGTGTTACTTTGAAACTGGAGACATTGTACTCGTGGTAGAGAACTTGTGGCCCCTTGGTCGCATCCTCGAACTACAACCCAACAAGAGAGACGGGCTTGTGAGGATGGTCAGGCTGAAAACCAAGTCCGCGGTCCAGGAACGTCCCATCGACAGTATCGTTCTTCTAGAGGCTCGTAGAGTCCACGAGAGAGAGCCTAAAAATTTTTCATCTTGATGTCCTCAATAGACTGCGAGCAGTCTCTCTCTTGCTCCGAAATCCGTGGGCGCGGAAGAAAGCAAAACTAGTGTGACTGCGAGTGTGATATGCGAGTAGCGCGGGCGGCTCGCGGCTTCGCATATTACGCTCGCACGCTCACGACCCACCGCTTGTTTGTGTTGCGTTAATCTTTGCGTTCTTCCCCACTGATTTTTGTACGAAAGAGACTGCTTGCAGTCTACGTCCTCAACCAAGAAGTTTGCCTATAACATCAGACAACAGTTCTTTCTTTGTTGACTTGACTATGATGAACCATTTCGAATGGAGTTAGTGACAATATATTACTCGAGTTTTTTTCCGTTTGAATCCCTCCACTAAGTTTAAATGCTTTCAGTTCGCATTAACGGACCGCTAGGTAGGATTCAAACGTGCGTGACATTTCCCCTACGTGCGAAACACTTCATTTAAAATTTAACTCAGCGATCATAGACATCATAACATAAACATATAAACATAAAACCTTTATTTCAACACGATAAGAATCAAAGCTATAAAGCTTTTGGGGTCGTGTATACTACTACATTAAAATACGTTAATTAAAATATATACATGTAAAATACGTGTGATTGGTTGGGTAAGATTTTTGCTTAGTACGTTAGTATATCATGCAGCAATCGTGTCAATTGCATCGAATTTCAGTTTAGTTCATCAATTACTTTAATCTACCAGTTCACATCAATAGGAGGAAATATATGTAAGTTATTTGTCTTTATCTTTTTGATTTGGTTTGTTACCTTTTCTTAGAATTATTGTAACCTATTGCTTTTTAGTCGAACACCACGTGATTCAAGCAGATGAGTTCTAGTAATGACTTCTTAATCAAAGTGAGGAATTCGTTTTCAAATCACCTCTCGGTCTGATGTCTAAGTTAGTTCGAAGCGTGAAAAACACAAGCATCGCACACTGAAGGGTTTGAGACCACCGCAACACTGCAACTTGGGATTTTATTCACCGCATCACCGGTTAAAAAAACAAAAGAGCAAGTTTAAATTTTGGCCTGTAGGCACCTTTAAAGCTCCCATTCGATTTGCGTTCATGAAAATCTTCTCGCTCGCCCAAAGCACAGGGGACCCGAACACTGTATCAGCAGTAACATAATAATTTACAAAATAAATGCACTGTTATTTACCTGTGTTCCTGGGTCTGTTTAAATCGTTTAGAAGGGATTTGACTATAGAAGCAAAGGCGGTGTACATTTCAAATATCATCTTGTCTGCCGCTTTGTAAATGCGACAATCCGATTTCGTCTCGAGTTTTCACTATCTTCATTAGCTACTAATCATTATAGTTGAAAACTAAATTTTCTCCAATTCTTATTGGTTTAAACTGATCACATGACGCGATAGTGTTCGTCCGCGGAGAGACACTATCTGCCCATACTGCCCGTCCGAGGAAAATACCCGGATGGATAGTAATCGTTCATTAAAAGTTTTCTGTAAACAAGCGGGCTTATAGAAAATAAACAATTGAAATTGTATTAAGTAGGTTTTGTCTGTTTTCTTTTTCAAATTTTACATTTGGCTTTCCCGGCTTCATCTAAAAAGGTTGAAAATAATTCAATATGATATTTGAACTGGCGCGCGGAAGAAAATTTGTATAGGTAATCATACGGTTTCGAGTTCAATTTGGAATTAATTTGCACGAGTGAGTTTTTTAAAAAGCTGAAATTGCACGAGCCGCTTCGG